AGGGGGGGGGAGTCTTTGAAAAAAAAACGTGTAAAAAATTGAAAATCCCGACCTTCGCGAATGAATATTTTCGGCGCGTGACCCAGCCGACGCAACGCGTGTCGCACTTATTACCCCTCATTCCCTCTTCGATACCCGTATTTCAGCGAAATATCTCCAAAACCTAGGAATTTTCCCGGAATTTCAGGGTTTTTCGTCAGTTTGATCGATTATCTGATCAGATTTGATGATTGTTTGACCGGATTTGTCGATCCTGAGAATAAAATTCCGGGCGTATCTTTGAATTTTTGCCCGGAACTTTTGACGATATCGGAATTTTTCTCGGAATTTTCGGAAATCGGTATTGATTCCGGGAACCACCAAATCTTTGGCATAATAAAATGGCAGCACTGCTTCTTTCATTTCAAAATAATATTATTTAAAATAATATTACGTAAATAATATTACTTAAAATAATATTACTTAAATAATATTACTTTAAATATTGTTGTTCTTAAGGTATCCCGAGAAAGGAGAGAACAGTTGCAATATTTTAGCAGCATCTGGTGGCGCCAGCTTTTGAATGCCCACTATTCATATGCCATTCTTTTTTGGCCGCAAGAAGAGAGGTCCTATTCCCACGGCCACGGCAATGAATAATCGGTAGAGTTTGGCCCCGAAGCCTGCGGCCACTTGTCCAAAAAGACGGAAAACTAGGACGGAAATGGTGCCAATCGAACTGGACCGAAGTGGCGTGGAGTTGACCGCGATGAGAAAATAATGTGATCAATCTGGCGGTCAGTGCCAACGCAATTGCGATTTTGGCCGCTTCTCTTCGTCGGGTGATTAAAATAACGGCCACCTCGTCCGCAAAGTCCACTGCTCTGGAAAACGCACGGGGACTGTTCGATCATTGCTGACATCATAGACTTCTAACATCGAATTTTCTTCTAAATGACGAAATCAAACGGATAGTTCAAAAAATTCCGTATCGAAAAGATCTAAAAAGCTGGCCAAGTTGGCATAGCGGTTAGCGCGTCTGATTCTATACCAATTGGTCCCGGGTTCAAATCCCGGTGGTGGCGACAAATTTTCACGGAACTGACGAGAGGATTCGCAGAAACAGATTCTACTCGACCTTAATCCCTGAAAATTTGAAAGCCGGAGCATGTATGTGCTAAAAAATAATCTCTAATGTTAAGAACTCATGTCTATGGATGGCTGTGGATTCCTAAGTTACTAAACAAAACAGATATAATTTGAGATAATTCGGTGCTTGGATCTGTTTCTCTTGATTGGTCCCACGAGTAACGTAAATGGGCCGAATTCACCGTTAGGCACCAGGCCATTTTTTTTAATTAAAAAAGTTTTGAGCTTGGTAAGTCGCAAATTTTCTACTGACAAAAATTCGCAATTGAAAACAAAAATTTTGCATTGAAAATGAGCTGGACAGGGTTTGTCTCAAAGTCGTGGCTTCAGGGTTAAATTTTGAAAAAAAAAAAAGAGAGGAAATTCAACTTTTAATGCACTTCTTTTTTCTCGGGTCTAAGTCGCTGCGGCTGGATTCTGTTGAAAGATGTCAAATTTGTTTTCCTTATACTACCGACTTGTGTATTCGATCAAATTTAGAAGGAGAGAACCAGCTTGATGACTGGATTGTAAATTCTCTCATCTTCATCTTGATATAAAAATTATTCCAGAATGTTAGATAGTTTTCATTTATCACCCAAAAATTTCCCAGGATGACGATCGTGTAAATGTCATTTTTTCATATAGATATTTATTGCAGACGTGATCGTGACGTTTCAATCTAACATTTAAGGCCTAACCTTGACAGATCAAAACTTTTGCCAACAATTTTCCCAAAGCGATGTTATTTGACGTACACATTTCAGACTACTATAACGTTGGTTTGGTTACTTATATTTTAAGAGGTTTTTTTTTTCTTTTTTTTGGTGTCAAAATGTTTACTTAATACCTCAATAAGCGGCATAATCTAAATATTATCCAAATAATGGCGTAAATAGCATTTCACTAACACCTGGTTGGCTTTGCCAATGAATTACCAATAAAAATCTGATACAAGTGGGTACAGAAATTTTTTTAAAAATACCAAAAATATTACCAGAATCTACGAACAGTTCATGAAGACATTACTCGAAAAATAATTATCAGAAGATAAAACCCTACACGAAAAGATATCCTGATAATAGGACAGGTAGAATATCCTTGCAGGTGATTCTTGCAAATAAGGAGATAGTGTATCTTTTGAATATCTGCGAATATTGTCGAGTTTTCGCCGAAAACTTTGCCAGAACAATCCGAGCAGAATATCCACAATAAATTTTTCTAGCAACGTCAGATTGTTAAAGTTTTTAGGTTACTCTCATTCCTCACGAATGAGCTCCTAAAATCCTCATCTGTTGAGAATCATCTTAAAATATTATCATCCCTCATGAATAATCCCACAATTTTCTGCTGTTCGGGGGGACGAATCTAAATATTCTCATCTCTTACAATAATTAAGAGAACATTCATCTCTTACGAATAATTTCAGAATATTCTCATCCCTCATGGATCATCTAAGAATTTTCTGATGTTCGTAAGAACGAATCTCAGAATATTCTCACCCCTTACAAATATTCTGAGAACATTCATCCCTACGAATAATCTCAGAATATTCTCACCCCTCATGAATATTCCAAGAATTTTCTAATGTTCATGAGAACGAATCACAGAATACTCTCACCCCTTACGAATACTCTTAGAGTATTCTCACTCCTGACGAATAACCCCAGGACATTCTAATCCCTCAGGAATAATCCCGGAGTTCTCTGATGTTGTGAGGAGAGAGTAGAGGCATGCCTCGCCCTCGGGGATGATTTTTCCCTCCCCCGAAAAATAAAAAAATAAATATATATATAAAAAAAAATTCTAAAGAATATTACCTCGTGATGGAATTCCTTCCTGGGGCACGGCCGCGTAAACCAACACAACACAGGGCAAAATCCACACAGCACAACACACACTATCCCAGGACGGTGCACTGACACTAGACCGGCCCGCACTCAGGCGGGGGGCGAAAGAACCGGGCGAAAATTCGGAAAACTGAGAAAAAAAAGCGAGAAAAATGTCCGGGGAAACTTCGTGGCGACGGGGCACGCGGGAGAAGCGACCAACTCGCGTCCGCACTCGTGGGGCGTCGGACGACTCTGCTGCCGCGGCCAGCGCCGATGCCATTCAACTCGGAGTGTGTTGAGGGGGGCCCCCACCCCCGCGCCCCCTCGCCTTATTAGCCCCCCCCCGCCCCTCTCGCGTCAGTCACACTCACATACGGCCTAAACTGAACTTACGTGAAGGAAATAACCCCGACGCGGCCGAGGCGGCCACGTCCACGTCCGACGGCTGCTCATCCTCCCCTTCCCCACGAAGAGGCTCTGCCGTGTTGCCAGATTTCGAGGGGGGTTCCGGACTTGGGTTCAAATGGGGAATATTGCTGATTTTTTTCAATCTGGCAACAACGGTTTTGCGCTATTGCAAGGAAGAGTATGGATTCGATCAGGGTGGCACGAAACGTAAGAAAGAAACGAAGGAGAGGCAATTTCGCGAGGCTGTGAAATAAAAATATAAAAATAAAAAAAATATAAAAATAAAAAAAATATAAAAATAAAAAAAATATAAAAATAAAAAAAAATATAAAAATAAAAAAAATATAAAAATAAAAAAAATATAAAAATAAAAAAAAATATAAAAATAAAAAAAATATAAAAATAAAAAAAATATAAAAATATTTTTCAGGTGCTAGAGTATGCAACCCGCACTGACAATAAAACACACAAAAATAGAAGGAAGTCACAACTTTCAAATTTCCGACGAAGAGGCTCTGCCGTGTTGCCAGATTTCAAGGGGGATTACGGACTTGGGTTCAAATGGGGAATATTGCTGATTTTTTTCAATCTGGCAACAACGGTTTTGCGCTATTGCAAGGAAGAGTATGGATTCGATCAGGGTGGCACGGAACGTGAGAAAGAAATGAAAGAGTGGTAATTTCACGAGGCTGTGAAATAAAAATATAAAAAGAAAAATATAAAAAATATAAAACTATTTTTCAGGTGCTAGAGTATGCAACCCGCACTGACAATAAAACACACAAAAATAGAAGGAAGTCACACCTTTCAAATTTCCGACGAAGAGGCTCTGCCGTGTTGCCAGATTTCAAGGGGGGTTCCGGATTTGGGTTCAAAAGGGGAATATTGCTGATTTTTTCAGCACAATCTGGCAACAACGGTTTTGCGCTGTTGCAAGGAAGAGTATGGATTCGATCAGGGTGGCACGAAACGTAAGAAAGAAATGAAAGAATGGTAATTTCACGAGGCTGTGAAATATTTTTTTATTTTTCAGGTGCTAGAGTATGCAACCCGCACTGACAATAAAACACAAAAATAGAAGAAAGTCATAACTTTCAAATTTCCGTTGAAGAGGCTCTGCCGTTTTGCCAGATTTCAAGGGGGATTGAACCGATTATTTTCCAAATCACCTAAGCGCCAAAATTGCGAATGCAAAAAACAAGAAAACCCGTTTTATTAGCTTCACCGTCTTCGAATTCCAAAAAATGTATGCTCTTATAGATGGCTTATAGATGGATCGACAATCAATTTGAAAAAAAAAAAAAAAAAAAAAAAAAAAAAAAACAGTGTTGCCTTAATTAATATGAATCGATCGAAAAGTAAAGACGTAAATCGATAGAAAGTGACTCGATTGACAAACCCTTAAATCGAGCGTAAAACCTGTGCATGAATAGATTAAATGTAGTCTTCAATTTTGAATTTAAAATTGACCGAAAAATAAAAATCGACCCAACATTTTTTACACTTATAATTTTTTGACTGAATGACATCGAAATCAAGAGAATGTTGGGGCCAAACCAAAAACACAAAAAAAGAGAGAGAAAAAGTCAAACAACACCCAGAGATGTTGGAACAAAGTCAAAGCAACGACAGAAACTGATACATAAGCGATTGAGGGTCATTTGCATGTTTGTAAAAGTGAATTCTTGTGCCCTTGAATAGCGAAAAATAAATACGGAAAGCAAAATGAAGGAAAACAAACAAAACCGCTGGGGACCACTAAAAACTAAATAATTAATTTGCTCGGATATGTGTTTACGGTAACATTCCTTCAAAGAAAATTGTTTCCCGGCTGAGCACAGAGGAGGATCGTGGATTCCGTTGTGTGTTTATTTTCAGACGATGGAATTAACTTTTACGAGCATTTTTCGAACCTCAAATGCAGATGAGAACTGCACAGACACGATCTCACGTTAATCGTTTTGAGTCTGCGTTTAATCACATAACTACCAAAAAAATCGAACATGCAGATCAAAACGTATATTCAAGTGTATATCGACGGTGTAAGTCGGCAATCACATAACTCGTTTGCGGTGTCTGAAAATCTCCGCCTATATGTTATTTTTTTAAAGGAGAACAAATTGACATCATTCCCTTAAGTTTTTGCAGAATTTTCTTCCCACAGAGAAGAAAAATCACGGTAGTTTTAATGAATTGCTGTTGAGTAGTTTTCCATTTAAAAAATAAAGTATGCCAGGAAGTCTGCGACGTCGTAAACCGAGTCATGTGATTGCCGACTTACACCGTCGATATGCTCATTTGCTCTTGCAAGCATTTCTCGCGGCTTTAATATTTACAAATTACACATTTTCAACTTACGAATTTCATATGAAAAATGAGGTATCCAAAAGTAAGTACACTAACGAAGAGATGAAATGGAATACATGTTGCAATAATAAATCACTATTTCTAGCCCATTTTAGAAACAACATATGCCCATGAAGGCTATATCCATTTAAATCTTCCGTCACATTCATACGGCGCAATGATTCAACTATTTGAACTCTCCGGAATGCGTGAGGTATCACTCCGCATTTGAAGGCGTTTTCAAAACAGCCCAAGTTCCGTTATCAGAATAATCGTTTTGCATAGTTCATATGATTTTGTTTCCATTTCTAACCACTTGTTTAATTATAATCCTCGTAGAAAAACCACCCATTTGCTAAATACAATTCTAGCTGGAGCGCACTTCAGCTATGCATTCACCACTGCAAAAATGTCAAGGGAAATCGACACGCCCAGCGTGCATGGAGGCTATTTCCATTTAAATCTTCCGTCACATTCTTACGGCGCAATGATACAACTATTTGAACTCTCCGGAATGCGTGAGGTATCACGCCGCATTTGAAGGCGTTTTCAAAACAGCCAAGTTCCGATACCTGGATTATCGTTTTGCATAGTTCATATTATTTTGTTTTCATTTCTAACCACTTGTTTATTTATAATCCTCCTATAATAATTACCCATTTGCTATATACAATTCTAGCTGGAGCGCACTTCAGCTATGCATTCACCACTGCAAAAATGTCAAGGGAATCGACAAGCCCACCGTGCATGAAGGCAGGCCCGCCACAAGGGAGGGATACTGGGTCCCTGGCACCGGGGCCCGGGGGCCGGGGTTTTCCCGACAAAAAACCAAACTTTTCACTGGACATAGTTTTTGTCCGCAGACTGGTGAACAAACATCATTCGATTAAAATCGTAAGTACCTCTTACTTGACAATTCGTTGATTGATCCAGTTGTAAGACTAGACTCGCATACTGCCGTGCAAGGGAAGAACGCGGCGCCGTATGAACATTGAAGAGTTGCCAAATTTTCCTTGGTAAAACATGCATTTTTGACGACATTCATGCATATTTTCCCTTGGAATTTTCAGATATTTTGGATTAAATTAAGCACAAAAAACTGTCCGAAAATTTTGGAAAAATATTCACAATTTGCCCGGTAAATTCGGGTTTTTCGCGAGGAAACTTGGCAACGCCTGAAGGTTCATACGGCGTTCTTCCTCAGCACGGGAGTATCAATGGGACGTATTTCTGGCAAACGGAACTATGTGCATTATGACGTGAGCCCTGTTATGCATATATTCTTATGGGTCTCAGGGCTCATGCCTGAAAGCACATAGTTCCGTTTGACAGAAATACGTCCAATGCATGTTCCTTGCCGTTAATTACGGTCCATATACGACCCGATATCACAATGGGACAGAGCCTTGTGTCAGCTCCATTGCACCACCGCCATAAACATTGAACACGTTCGCTCGTTCGACCTTAGGACCGCAACAAACGTGGACCAGTATTTGGGTGCTCATCACCTCATCGATTGGGCCGACCCCCAACGGACTCGCTTGAGAATCAAACCTATCATTTATGATTTACAACTCTGCAAGGGTATGCTTTTCAAGGCAAGGCCGCCGAATTCGGCCCGAAGTTGCTCGGTGCCATCTCGAGGATTGCATCATTGCTCGTGGTTCGAGTGAGCGGCGATGGAAGGATCTGATTCTTCACATGAGCCCCAGTTCTCCTTAGACTTGTGCGATCCAGGTGTCAAGTCGAAAATTAGTTAGAGCTATTCTATTTAACGATGCGTAAGTTTACGCGCACTGCGGTTGCCGGAACTACTTTAAACGCGGACGACCGGTAAGGATGCATCATTGCCAAGTCGACGGCTGAATTTTTTATTTTCTCTCGATGGAATCTGAGGAAAATCTGTCATTCTTCAAACAAAGGAACGTAATTCCATTCCAGAATTGCAACATGGACTTCAATAATTCAATTTGTTACAGGGCACTGGAAAAAAAACGCATTGGATCTAGAGTCCAGACTCTTGAAAACATTGACATGAAAAAATACTCTTGATTCAATCGGAATGTTGCTTGAATCGAAACGAAATCCGCTTAAATTAAGAGGCTTGGTTCTTGATTTAAAGCTAGATTCTGATTGAATCAAGAGTACTTTTTCTTTTCGATGTTTTTAAGAGTCTGGACTCTAGATCCAATGTGTTTTTTTCCCAATGGACGACGACAATGCAATATCTGTGCAACATTTTGCGAATTTTCCCTTGTAGCTAGAAGAAAATTTGTGAAATTTTTAGTTGAAAATGCTCAACAGTTTCCCGGTTTACTCTATACATATATAGGCGACGTAAGTCCGAAATCACATATCTCGTTTGCAGTGTCTGAAAATCTCCGCATCTATGTTATTTTTTTAAAAGAGAAAAAATTGACATTACTCCTTGAAGGTTGTGAGGAATTTTCTTCGCACTGAGAAGAAAAATCACGGGAGTTTTAAAGAATTTCCGTTGAGTGATTTGACGTTTAAAA